TTTTTTTTTTCGAAAATTCTTGTAGATGCTTTTAGAGTATGGCACCATAGAGGCAAATAATTCATGAAAATAAATTTTTTAGCCAGAAAAGTTTTAGGTAAAACAAACGAACAGGCCCTCAAAGTTTTGGTTCACCTCCAAATCTTCAGCTAATCAGCACAACTCGTCTCGTATGGTGCTTGATAATGGTACGTTCAGTTATTTTCGATTCCAAATGAAAAGAAGTACTGAATTCAGTGTATGGAATGGCTGCCCCTGGTGAAATAATGGCCATCATGGGTTCGAGCGGTGCCGGCAAGACCAGCCTTCTTAACGTCTTGGCTCATCGAAACCTCGGAGATCTCCGGTTCCAAGGGAGTGTTAAGGTAAGCCCAGTGCAACGGCCTCCCTGTAAAGTTGGTTCATTGCACCTGTCTGTGGGGATGAAATAGCGGGATATCGGCAGATAAGTTTGCCAATCGTGCCGATTTTTCGTGGTCCGGTGTAGTCTAGGCTATTTTCTCCCAGGAGGCGAAGTAATTAGGGCAATGCGGTATTCGTCGTAGGAGATGATAGTCTGATATGCGCACGACGACTGATATGCACAGATGGCTGAAATTGCACCGAAATTACTGCTCTCAGTTGTACTTAGTTTGCTTTGCAACCCACTGAGGCTAGTACTGCCAATTGATGGTCGTTCAGGTGAATCAGCAGCCAGTAACGAAGGAATTCATGCGGACTGCATGTGCTTATGTACAGCAAGACGACTGCTTCATAGGATCGCTGACCGTGAAGGAGCACCTCATGTTTCATGTGCGTGTCAATTTTTCCATGAGGTGGACTTCTCTTTACTTTTTTTTTCTCTTAATTTTTGTTCCCTTCTGGGTTCAATTCTGCAGGAAACTTTCAGGCAGCGCTCAGGATGGGCGGAGGCTACCACAAGGCTCACCATCTTCAAAAAGTCGAAGAAATCATTCAAGACGTAAGTGTGACATACCCAATTTATCTTAGATTGTAATATGGGTAATGATTATCAATTCGTCAGAGGGATGCGCCCCGCATTCGACTTTCATCCGAATCGTAGTGGCGTATTGAATGCGTATGTCGCTTATACAATGACTTGCGCTGGCCATACTCTGGCTGTACGAGTCAGTGCTTCTATCCTCCCAGACGGG